CCAATCACATGGCAGTTGCTTCAATGCATTTAGAGGTGTGGTCCTGGTCAAGACAATCTCCTGAACTCCAAACTGAATGTCAGAATGGGAAAGAAAGGTGATTTAAGCAATTTTGAGCGTGGCATGGTTGTTGGTGCCAGACGGGCCGGTCTGAGTATTTCACAATCTGCTCAGTTACTGGGATTTTCACGCACAACCATTTCTAGGGTTTACAAAGAATGGTGTGAAAAAGGAAAAACATCCAGTATGCGGCAGTCCTGTGGGCGAAAATGCCTTGTTGGTGCTAGAGGTCAGAGGAGAATGGGCCGACTGATTCAAACTGATAGAAGAGCAACTTTGACTGAAATAACCACTCGTTACAACCGAGGTATGCAGCAAAGCATTTGTGAAGCCACAACACGCACAACCTTGAGGCGGATGGGCTACAACAGCAGAAGACCCCACCGGGTACCACTCATCTCCACTACAAATAGGAAAAAGAGGCTACAATTTGCAAGAGCTCACCAAAATTGGACAGTTGAAGACTGGAAAAATGTTGCCTGGTCTGATGAGTCTCGATTTCTGTTGAGACATTCAGATGGTAGAGTCAGAATTTGGCGTAAACAGAATGAGAACATGGATCCATCATGCCTTGTTACCACTGTGCAGGCTGGTGGTGGTGGTGTAATGGTGTGGGGGATGTTTTCTTGGCACACTTTAGGCCCCTCAGTGCCAATTGGCATCGTTTAAATGCCACGGCCTACCTGAGCATTGTTTCTGACCATGTCCATCCCTTTATGGCCACCATGTACCCATCCTCTGATGGCTACTTCCAGCAGGATAATGCACCATGTCACAAAGCTCGAATCATTTCAAATTGGTTTCTTGAACATGACAATGAGTTCACTGTACTAAAATGGCACAGTCACCAGATCTCAACCCAATAGAGCATCTTTGGGATGTGGTGGAACGGGAGCTTCGTGCCCTGGATGTGCATCCCACAAATCTCCATCAACTGCAAGATGCTATCCTATCAATATGGGCCAACATTTCTAAAGAATGCTTTCAGCACCTTGTTGAATCATTAATGCCACGTAGAATTAAGGCAGTTCTGAAGGCGAAAGGGGGTCAAACACAGTATTAGTATGGTGTTCCTAATAATCCTTTAGGTGAGTGTATATTCTTTTTCATTTACGTGTCAAAATCTCCTAGGCCCATCATAATTAAAATACAGTATGACATCAAGAAGAAACTAGAGAGCCAGTTAATCCTGATCCAGCAAGCAATGCATTATTTCAGTTCAATCAGTTGTCCTTGAAATCTGAGCCTTTATAAGGACATGGTCATGGTTAGAGAGACAATGCATGCCACAAAGGGAAGCTACAGTCCATTTACTGTTCCTCAGTTTTCAAACAGAAAGTAACTTTTCCCAGGACTTATGTTTGTGGCTTTTAACAGTCACTGATATGGTGTCAGATCTCTGAGCCATTCTGAGTGACTCAGAATGCAAACTTCTTCATTACTCCAGACAAAAGAGCTATACAAGCTAAAAAGGAAAAAGGAAGTGGCTTATGGCATTCAGTGCTGAGTGTGCACATGCAAACAATCCAGTAAGTCACATTTTAACACCACAACAATTAAACTTTTGGTCATTATTTACTGCCAAGAGACCTCGGACAAATGAACAATGGCTAAACTCCTGGGCCAAAAAAATGGCCAAGCCAAAAATGGCAAAATGTTTATTGGATTTTTTACGGTCTTAACTGTTTTAATCACAAATCACTGGTCAGGAAATAAGAATAAATTGCATAAACAGCACATAGCCACTCCCAACTTACAGACAGCTTTTTACAGGAAGAACAGTCAGTGTGGTTTCACTCAATGTTAACGGCTTCAAACAGTTCATAGTTGAAAAATGTCTCCCAGTTCGTTTGAGTTTAATGTGAGAGCAAATATTCACTAGGTTCACATCTGGACTCTGACCAGGTCAAAACATGAGTCTAATGAACTTTATTCTCAAGCCGCTTCTTGGTTGACTTTGCAATGTGGGCAGGAGTGTTGTCTTATTAAAAAAGAACATCGGATCATTCCTCTTTAGATAACAATTTTTCAATTGTGCGAATCAAGCCATTCTGGAATATTCTGCTCTAAACTAAAGCATTAAATGATCTTTCACAGGGAAGCAGCTCACCAACACCAGCAGCTAAAAAGCTCCCCAGACAATGACACCTCTTCCTCCATGCTTCACTGTACTGGAGGAGAAGCATTTATTATAATATTTATCAGCAGATTTTCCAAGACACCGCTCTGGAGCATCAGTGATTCATCACTTCACACACAACTTCCCATATCCTGCCAAAAACTTAATTCTGTCTTAGATGCTTTAAGAAGTGCATTTGCTTAAATTGAGCTAAATTCATGACCCAATAATTTGTGGTTATGACAATAAAAAGCTTAGTGTCTAATCATTTTGGGCATGTCTATGTTTAGCTTTTTACTTCTGCTGATTGTATTTAGGCTTCAAAATTCATAGACGTTGTGTTAATTTGTGAAGACTATCATGATGAACAAAAAGAGTAAGAATCATAAACTTTTGTTGGTTACATGCAGAGATTATCTCTGTAATCATTATTTCTTTAATCATTCATAAAGCCAATCAATGGAGAAAAAAAAACTGGGTTTTTGTCGATGGAACCAGGGTGGTGCAAACTGTTGGCCAACAAAAATATGTCATCACTGCAGCACTGGGAGTAGTACTGAATAACTACAGGATTCAAATAAATACTAGTTTAAATTAAAAAAAATTCTTAAAAATCCTTTGAAAAATTATTTTTTTTTAAAACACACAGGGTTATAGAACTAAGCTACATGAAAACAGGTCAAGGGCTTTGTAATCATTTCTGTCCTGAACTTAATCATCTGGTATGTAATCCCAAACGTTCACGCAGTCGCTGCCCAAGCTCAAAATTAACCAGCATATTCCATGAATTCCAATTCCCCGGGGGCTGCCATGGTTACACAATCACGACAGTAATCCACAGCTTAAATAGTTCAGTAGGTTAAGCATGCCCATCAAAGCAATAGTTTGACGACTGAACAGGCTCTGATGAGGGTTTGCCCAAGTATAATGAGGCCCTGTAATCAGTGCCGAGTTGACCCATGCCGGTCTCTAGCATTGACCTTCCCTGTTACAGCTCTTTAACTTTTAAAGTAGACACAAGACTGCCAGCCCAGCTGAATATATGTGACAGCAATAACTAGCTAATCGGCCAGAGAGTAATCTGTTATGATTAGACCCTGGGGTCTCATATGTTTACAACAGAGGACATTTGATGTTAAAATACATTTGTAGTAAGCAATGCATTCTGGGACGATTACCGAACTGCTAAATGTATTTGTAATATAGGCCTAAGGGTCATTTTACTAAATGTCTGACATTCGTTTCTCCCTTATATACATGCTGTGTTTTACTGTGTTAATAAAGACATTTTTGTCAACACAACACCCCCCAGTAACTTTAGTTTAAATTTTAGTTGACCCCAGGTTATGCGTCAACCCAAAAACAAAAACAATACAAAAATACTAATTGTGGACGGAACTGAACCCAGCATATGAAATACTCTCCAGTATATGCATCCATCCCGTTACCGTAATATTGTCAAAGCAAAACAAAAAAATAAAATTACTAATTGCGGACGAAACTGAACCCAGCATTTGAAATACTCTCCAGGCTATGTATCAACCCCATTACCATAATACCCAACCCTAATTATGGACAGAACTAAACCATTTGAAATACTCTCTGTTCCAGGATAACATCTTCTACTAACCAATCCATGAAGGGAGACAAAGCTCTCTGAGATGTATGTGCCTGTCAAACTCTGGCCCAACTCAGTACAGTCCTGTGTGGCCCGTGCTTAAAAAAAAAAAACACATCCCTCCTTTAGTGCCGCCAGTGCAGCAGGGCAAATATTGACCAGTCCCTCTTACAGATGAGTCTCTGTGGGGAACTCTGAGGAACACGATTGGCAGACCACTGATGAATGCTGATTAGAGCATCTCAGTCAGTCGTTAAAACAACCTGCCAGAGTCACCACGGCACCCCCTTTATCTCAGTGTCAACTTTCTGGCTCCACAAACCATTGTGAGTCATCAAAGGCAGTGTAGCACTTGAATGCCGATGACCACACGAGGAGGGGGTCCAGACAAATGAACTAGAGAACATTTCATAAGACCCTCAGTGGAGGCAGTGAGCAGACAGTATCCCTGCGAGGGGTCTGAGTGTGTATGGGGCCTCTGAGTGTGTATGGGGACTGGATTTTACGCATGGTTTTCGGTTTAATAGTGACCATGTTTACAACTAGTGTGGTGTAGTAAAGATTGACAAGATATAACTGGTACAACACAACAAACTTTCAAAATAATGAAAGCAAAACTAAATTCTTGTTGATGATTCCAGGATTAGAAAGACACGAAGCACTAAAACAATAAAAAGCTTGCAAAAAGTGTCATATTTTATTTATTTATTTTTTGTGCAAGGAAGACTGTGGCTACATTCAGCTACATAGAAGAGTGGTCCAATCAAATAAAAAGATTTTTCCCTTTAATTTCTAGCAGAAATTAATTTCTCAATTATTTTAAAAGAAAGATTTTTTTTTTAAGTGCATTAAAATCAGTTTATTAACAAGTAAATCTTAAAAACCATGTAATGTTTCACCCCAAAATGAATAAGAATAACGACATTATTTTCTGCTTAAAATTAATTACATATTTATATATTTTTTTACTATTACAGCAAAGACACCATTACGAATAGTGGCATTTACCAATAATAATAATAATAAAATCATGGACACATTATGATACTGAGAATGTCTAGGGGGAAATGTGGTTAAATGGTCATGAATATAATGGAAAAAAAATCTTAATAGTCTTAAATTAGGCTTCATTTTCTTTACATACGTAAATTTGGAGTTCTTCCACTCCCTCCCCTCTTCTCTTTTTGGTTTTGGGGTGAAGTGAGACATGTTTTCCTGAGGTTCCCTCTTTTATTATTATTATTATTTAAATAAAAATGTTCCCTGATTTCTATTAATAAAAAAAATTTAAACCCCCTTTTTTTTTTTGAGTATCCACTCCAGAACTGTAACTTCAGCTCAATCTTTTGGTCTCCTGGCCCTCGCCATACACTGCAAGTAGGTCTCTCGATCCAAAAAGTGCACAGCACACACCTGAACCATTTTGCAAATACTCTCACATGTGATGTTTAAGTTGTAGCTCACCATAAAATGGTTAAAATACTTCTCAAAGGCTTTGCTCTGTGGCTGCTCGAATCTAAGAGCAAGTTCATGCAAGTTGTGGGGCTGAATGTCTTCGATATCAAAAGCCTCAGTCATAATGTATTCCAGCTTCCACTCTGACCTTTTTTCCAGGTTTGCTTCAGTGAGATTTAAATAGAACTGCCAAATATCCTGTAGAAGAAAAAAAAGAGAGTGATTATTACAAGAGATACAATAGAAGAGCCATGCTTTGAGCTGACACATTGATTAAAACACAGCATGTAATTAGAACTGACACTACCATTAATCATTCAGAAACAGGACTTGCTCAAGGAAGAGACACATTAGTGGTGCAGGAATGACCTCACACAAAAAATATTTTCACATGTATTAGAATTAAGCCAACTATTCAGCTCTAAACAACTCAGAATATCATAATTATAAGACATTTTAACACAGTGCCTTGCCTAATATATGGAAGCTTTTTTTGCCATGGAATAAAAAAAAAAAGAAAAAGGTAATAGCGTCTTTTTATCTCAAAAATCTGACCTTTTTTTCTTGCAATTGCGAGTTTATATCTCACAATTCTGAGAAAAAAGTCAGAATTGCTAGTTATAAACTTGGAATTAAGAGAATATCTAAATTGCGATATCTAAACTCGCAATTGCAAGAAACATTTCAGAAAAAAATTTCTTGCGAGTTATCATTTTGTAGTTATAGTTCTTGGTGTGAACGGGCCTTTAAACTCTGAATTGCAAAAAAAAGAAGAAAAAGTTTTGTGAGATAAAAAGCTGCAATTACATTTTTAATCGTTTTATTCCATGATGGAAGCAAGCTTCCATACTAATAATTATAAGAATGTTCTAATAATTCTAAAGGCATGCTAAAAGTAAATAAATCAGTGCTTGAACTTGCTAGTAGGTGGAGACTTACCAGTAAACCATAATTCTCAGGGTGGTACAGATACGCACGGAGGCCAGGATTGTTCGAGAATGGCTCCAATAGACTTTTGATAGGTGTAACAGCAGGTGTGACAAATATAGAGTTCACAGGTTTCCCTTGAACAGATGAATTGATGGTACATAAATCAGAATGGTAAATACTGTATATATACACACACACATATACATGATGTGTATTTTATTTTATCTAAGTCAACAGTTTGGAACTAAAAAAACATCTTTTGAATCTCTTATTTAAAATATGAATGTACTGCGGTGTTGTTACCTTTGTGATCCAGCAGAACCATTATGCTGTCTCGATGAGTGTGACCGTAGAATTGACCCTCAACGACGTCACTGTAGTTGCGAAATATTTTGACCAGTTGTTCATTGTAGCTTTCTCGGATGGCTGTTGTATTTATAGCAAAGGGTAGGTAACCGATGGGGACGTGAGCAATTACATAGACCTCAGAGGAACAGATGACAGTGAAATTCAACTCAGCAGTCACTCACACACTGCTGATGTCACTTACATGGACATACCACTTTGCAACTCTTAATTTACAGCCTTATAACAAAATGGCGTCTTATGATCAGTGCAGCGGGCTCTTTCTAAAATTAAACTGTCTTGTAAAAGCAGACAGAATATATTCACCTTCTCCATGTTTTGTCTTGAGAGCTCAAGCGTTTCCTGCAGCCACTGGAACTGCCCAGCAGGATCAGACATATTTACAGTCACTTCATTAGGACTGTAGTACAGGTTTGTGTTGAGACTCACCAGACGTAGGCCGGGTTTGATCACAAGAGAGTAAAAGCCACCTTCATGCAAACAAGTAACATATGAAGAGTATTAGCTCACTATATTTTCACAGAGCTAAAGGTCACTGTTAGGCACCATGCATCACAGTAACATAGAGAAATGTGTGTGTATGTGTAATATATATATATATATATATATATATATATATATATATATATACATATATACACATACACACACACACACATATATATATTTAGGGATGCACCGATATGAACATTTTGGCCGATACCGATAATTCTTTATATTTGAAAGCCGATAACCGATATATTGAGCGATAAATCTAAATCCAAATTTTTAGATAATTTCTGAGAGCCTGATTACAAAAACAAAAGTCTCACCATTAAAAGCCATGACCCAAACACACAACTATAATGTTCTCATTATAATTGTATGCAGCCTATATGACAGACCTGTGCTGCACATGTTGCACTGAACTGTATTTTCCTTTTTTGAAGTGATTCCAATCATATTTCAAGCAATTCAAAACCATGATGGTGAACAGTGCGCATCTGAAGTGTCTCAGCTCAAGGAAATAATCCATTATTTATCAGCTTTAATATATCGGCTACATTTTCTTATTGGGCCGATAACACCACAAATGATCATATATCGGGTGATACCGATATGGTGGCCGATATATAGTGCATCCCTATATATATTAGTGACAAAAACAGTGGCTAGATTAAAAGAGATTTTACATCATACTGTCGTTTGCATCCAAGTATTTTAGCAAGGCTAAAACTTTGCATTGACCAATCAGCATCCAAAATAATATAGTAATTTAAATGTTCTCATTCATGACTTCCTTATCTGCAGTTACCTTTTTGCAAAGTTGCTACAGCTGCTGGGTTCAACCACGGAGACCAGATTTTGGCTACAGCGTCGTAAATTGCATTTCCAGATGTTGGCAACTGATCCTAAAATGATTTAAAGCAAGATTAGACACACACACACACACAAAAAAAACCCAGCATAAAATATTTTAATATTCAAAATAGCATACTACACTGCACTTTTAGAGTAAAACATCTCTCCTCTCTCTCTCCTTAAAAGGTTCTGTCAGGTGACTCATAAATAGATACATTTGAATGTGAATTGCACAGCTCATAAACTTACTTAATCATTAATTAAAAAAACTGTTAAACATGAAAGTATTATGCAATCATTTAAGACATTTCTCCTTTTTGAAAAAATTGAGTCAAGTACCGTAGGGTTCTATATAGAACACGATTAAACCTTTTCTTCCTAAGAGTATAGTCTTAATATTTCAGCAGTATGCAGCAATCATACTGTGCCAAATTGAGCCATATACGACAGAGTACGCCGTTTCAAATACTGGTCCCACAATGCAATGCACTCACCATTTCTATTTTCATAAAGGAAGCAGAGGTAATATCAGTAACGAATATGACATATTTTACGTAAAATGTAATTAAAAATGCTTAACTGGATGCAATTGTTGAATAGTTTTATTGTCGCATAATTGTTTAAATGCATTTATATATTTTTTAAATAGACAACTTAAAAACATAATACAATAATAAAATATAAACAAATATATAAATACATTTTCAGTGTATGCTTTGCAGCAAGCAGTATGGAAATATTCCATTCAAACAACATAAAAATGTCTGCCCTTTATTTGACCCCAGAACTGTCATCTTGGCTATAACTCCAGGAGCTCTAGTTGCCCTTGGATTTGAAATACCTGTGGCCAGTAGTCGTGGTTTCCCAGGGCAGGGTAAACTGGTAGCTCTGGGAAGAACTGACGTATGGTGTGAGTCATATTGGCAATAACATTGATCACTATATCAGTGGAAAGCTCTTCTTTTGGGACGTGTGGAGGGCTGTCTCTGCAGTGAGGGGCACAACATTTAAATAAAAGTTAATAAAAAATATTGAAGACAAAAACCATGATGTGATCATTAGCTCCCAAATTCAATAATCTCCCTCTTTCAAGTAGAAAAAATTATACCAACTGATTACACAGAACAGCTGCGAGACAAAAAATGCGTTTGCTTTATACCCTGTCCATATAATGAAGTCGGGCTGCAGGTCCACTTGTTTCATGTAACTGAACGCTGAGAGAATGAGCTGGTATGGAGAATCACACAGGAAATCTCCAAACACTCCTGGATCCAATGCAGGAACTCCCTTGGAGGAAAAACAAACTTTGGTGTGGTCTTCTGTGACATGGTAGGTTGGATCCAAGTGCAGGTCTGAGATATGCCAGAATTTAGCTGGAATTTAAAATGGGCAGTTAAAAGCCATTTGACAAATATGCAAAATACTCCCCTTAAAGGGATACTCCACTTTTTTTGGAAATAGGCTCATTTTACAACTCCCCCAGAGTTAAACTGTTCAGTTTTACCGTTTTTGAATCCATTCAGCCGATCTCCGGTTCTGGCGGTACCACTTTTAGCATACATCATTGAAGTGGACAAGACCATTAGCATTTCTAAAAAAAAAAATGACCAAAGAGTTTTGATATTTTTCCTATTTAAAACTTGACTCTTCTGTAGTTACATCGTGCACTAAGACCGACGGAAAATGTAAAGTTGCGATTTTCTAGGCTGATATGGCTAGGAACTGTACTCTCATTCCTGCGTAATAATCAAGAAACTTTACTGCCGTACCATGAGTGCAGCAGGCGTAATGATATGACGCAGCGCCTGAAAATAGTTCCGTTGTGTTGACGGAAGGTGGCCTATTTTCAGGCGCTGCGTCATATCATTACGCCTGCTGCACTCATGGTCATTTGGTCATTTGCACACATGGTCAATGACAAAACTCTTTGGTCATTTTTTTTTTTAGAAATGCTAATGGTCTTGTCCACTTCAATGATGTATGCTAAGCTATGCTAAAAGTGGTACCGCCAGAACCGGAGATCGGCTGAATGGATTCAAAAACGGAAAAACTGAACAGTTTAACTCTTGGGGAGTTGTAAAATGAGCCTATTTCCAAAAAAAGTGGAGTATCCCTTTAAATACTGATGTGTTAAATATTTTGTCCCATTCAGAAGCTATTTCACAGCAAATCAGGCCAATGCTACTTTAAAAGAGCACAATCAACTTGAAATCAATTCTTAATTCATTCTTATATCGACTTCCTCATTCAAATATTTCAAAACTAATCTTGCTAGTTTGTTTGTTTGTTTGTTTTGACCGAGTAGAAAGATACTATTGAACTCTTACCCATTCATTTTATTTGTACCATTTTTGTTTTGTTAAGAAAAATTACTGTTGTCCAGCATGATAATACATCATTTTTGTTTAGGGACAACTTACTGGACCTCAACACATCCACAAAATATTGAAAATAATAACATTAATTTAAATAAAATAAAATGTACATAGTCAACTTCATAGTCAAATCATATGTAATACACCATTTTAATAATCTTTGCAACTGAAAATTCTTTGTGTGTGTAAATGTATGCATATATGTGTGTGTGTGTGTGTGTGTGTGTGTGTTTTAATAACATTTGAATTACATTTCAAACATGTCAGCAGCAATCTTGTTCACAATAATTGCTCATAAAATTGTGAAAAACCATTACGCATCATCAGCCTAATTCAATATCCAAGTTAAATATCAACCTTTCCATATTTCTCTTAACGCCAGAAAATTTCATTTCAGCACGGCTTCTTAATGTAATTTAAGTAATGTTTCTTTCAGATGCATTTCCTTGACTATCATAATTTATTTACTTTGAATGAACTAACCTGATTAAAAGGGTCATTTTAAAAAGTCTGTTTGATTTTACAGTATATAAATGACACTCAATTTATTATAAGATATTTCATTTATTTGCACTAATATCAGTTGATGCAAAATCATTGTCGTGTACATGCTTATATATTTAAATGTTACAATTTATCAATACACGACCCTTGATGTTAAGAGTATAAGTCCCAAACAGAACATGCAAACTAAATGCAAACATGGACAACAACAACAGCTAAATGTACAAGAATCTCTGACGAGTTAAGTCTGTAAAACCGCCAATAAAAGACCAGGCAATGCCTAAACATATGTAAAGTGTGTGAGCGATAGAGCAAACTAATGCATAAAGACAACATCAGGAGGAGACATGAAGCACCTTTAACAGCTGATCAGGCTCTGAAACACTTACATGCGCTCTGCAGGTGTTTGAAGAAATTATTAACCGGCGCAGCAGAAACCTGAAGGTAAAAAACATGACTAAACACGCATAATAGAACGAGTAAAGTCATTCCTGCGCGTCCCTGTTTATATTATTACACCCTCTTTGTGTAAACCATAGACTGTACAAAAAAGAGGTGCAAACTAAAACAGGAAACGCAATGGCTCTCACGTGACGCTTTGTTTTGCGCAACCTTTTGCAGTCACGCGCACTGATTGGTCATCACTCATCACTGATTGGACATCACCTTACCAGACTTTTCTCCCTGTACTACAAAAATGTAATTTTTGGTTGTTTTAGTGACTGTGGGAAGGACAATGGTGCTCTCTTTCTAGTAAACCTAATCTTATTTGTTGCCAAATTCCATATCCCTAAATGTAAATAAATACAGTAATAAAAAACACTTTTTTCGGTGCTAAAAACTGAAATGGAACAATATATTTCTACCATCTCTTCCATGCAAAACAAAAAAGCTGTTAAAACTGTAGTTAATTGTACTATGTTTAATGTGTTTATTTGAGTAATAATCTTGTGTTTTAGTGTCTGTATTTTTTTTTTTGTATTTATTTATTTATTATATATATATATATATATATATATATATATATATATATGGGGGGGTTTGAACTTCCGTTTATGCGGTACTTCATTACTTCAATTAGCTGGTGAAGTGTATTTGCTTATTGTAGGGATTTTAAAACGAGCGGTTCATTCATAAATCCGTAAGATCACCTTCATGTTGTGGAAATTCAAACCGGAAGACAGAACACAACGAGTGCAGCGCTGAAGGGGTCTATATATGTGCATAAACGTAAAAGGTAGCTTATAAAAACAGCTAATTGTTTTGTTCAACAGAAACTGTACATTGTAAAATTACAAAACAACCATAACCTGATATTAGTACTGAATTCACTTTTCGTCAACCCTCTTAATATATAGGCCTACGTAGGCCTACATTAAACTCATGAATGAACACACAAGTCATCATTTTTGACTGGTTATTTATTAAATGATTCACACTGACTGAAATGTATTTTTTTTAAATGATCAAAAATATTGGTAGTCCATTCTTTCACAGATAAGATTTGAAGGAACCAAGTGCAAGTTGTGCTTTCAGTAAAGCATCAAAGCACATCATATCTCTTGCTGCCCAGTGAAGAAGAAAAAATCCTGATATTCCCAAAACTTATGCTTTTTCATAGGTCCGCACAGCTACCACGTCCCCTAAGGTGAGTTTCTGAAACAAAATTTAAATCAGCAAACAATAAAGTGCAAGTTATAAATGTCAAATGTCATGTTTTGTATATTTTCATATATTTATAGTTTTGACTGTCTTATAAGTTGATTTGTTATTTTGTTTATAATGGTGCATGTTACATCCACCTGTTTGTACTACATTATGTTGTTGTCTTATGCTTGTTCTAACTTTGCACATTTGAGCTTGGAGAAACTTAATTTAGTTCTGCTGTATACTATTTGTTGTATGGTTGGAATGACAATAAAGCACTTTGAATTTGTACTGATATTTGTTCAAGTTCAAAGTGCTTTATTGCCATTCCAACCATGAATATGAATATAAACTAAAGTTGATTTTATTGACCAAATATAGGCTACTGAATACTGCTGTAAAGAGCCTTACCATCACCATCTTCCCGTCCTTGATCTCCCGGACAAAGGTGGTCTCTTTTCTATTCCACTTCTGCACATGAACAAGCCGGTCTCCATCCATTACCACCGTGGACTGGTAAAAATAACACATTACTGCTTATTCATCTCAGACAGAAAGCTTCAGACAGAAGCTCTGAAATGGGAATGAATTGTGCCCAGTTGTAAGAGTTCCCATTAAACCATGTTATGAAGCATAAACCTACTTTACAGTTTCGGTCGTCTGCGGTGGTCTCATCAAACTCCTCACCCAGTGTGAATGAGATCTCAGTGTTCTTAAAAGTACTCTGTGTTTTTTGGACCACTTTATCCCCCTCTTTCGAGATGATGAGGGTCGGTTTAGTCACATTTCCAACTTGTCTTACTGCAAACCCAACACCTTAGAAAGAATCACATTAATTGAAATCTGCTCACTAAACCCATAGGGTTTTTAATAGGATGTGTCTGAAATTAAAACCATAATGGTAAGGTTTCATGTGTTAACAAAAGTAAACTACACAGTCAACATGAACTTCTACATCATTTATTAATCTTAATGTTAATCTCAGCATTTACCACTACATTTTTAAGATCAAAAGTTGTATCTATTGACATTAATGCACTGAACTAACATGAACATTTTTATCAACTAACATTAACAAAGGTGCTGTTCAAATATATTGCTCATTGTTAGTTGTTGCATTAATGTTGACAAATGAGACCTTATTATAGTATTACCACTATAAATACAAAAGAAAAAGATCAGAAATAATAAACTATATTAATAATAATTATTATGATCATAAAACTTACCTATAGCTTTCATATACTCATCAAAGTTCTCACTGTTGACCAGTTTCCAAGTGCCACAGAAAGCCTCTACCATTTTCAAAACTAAGCTTTTCTTATCAATAAGCAAACACTAAACTTTATATTAACGCTCTGTAGAATATGTAGATGCATTTTCTCTTTGCAAAGGATCTTAAATAGTTTTTGTTCAACTACATGAAAATGATTAAACATGAGTGGGAGGAGTCAGTATTCCTATTGGCTGTTAGTCGAAAGTGAAACATTTGACTGTTGAGTTTGTAAAAGTTTTTACAAAGTAAATAAATGTAGATTATATGCAATAATTATATTTATGCTCTAAATTGTAAATACAGATTTAATTGTAAACAAATCTACAATGCTAGTTTGTAGAAAATAAAATAAAATGCTTTGTTTAACTCCATTAACAGCAACAAAACATGTAATATTGCACACATATATGAGATATTTTTGCTAGTTTATAAACCTCTTTTGTTTTAAAATTATTATATTGTTTTTTGCCCAAAAAATTGAATGGGAAATTATGGTGACATTTTTTTGTGCCCACACATTATAAAAGATACCTTTGGTGTCCTCTGCTGGTTACATAAATTACCACCTCAGGTCCACGGTTCAAAAAATGTAAACTACTAAAAACTAAGCACGGGATTTATTGTAATTTTTAAACATAGCAGAATGCCATTTTATATGTAGCTTACATCAGACAAAATAACACAAGATTTATGGGCAGGTAAAAAATAAAATAAAATAAAATAAAATGCAATCCTCTGACAGAAGCATGACGAAAAGACGAAAGAGAGGAAGAACAACACGTCTCCACAATCATTGCCATTGACAACAGTAAAGAAATATCTGAGACAAGCACTTAAGATGACGTCCAAATGACATGACCACAGATGTTTGCAGCGATACATCAGACAGCTAACAATCCAATTCCAGCTCACGCAGGGCAACACTGACAGCACACAAAGGTAGGCTTTTAAACAAAACTAGCAAATATAATGTACAATTCTCTATTTACAAGAAGAAAATATCATATTTCATGTTATTCAGCACTGTTTCTTGTCCTCTGGCTAGAATGTTAACAATGCATATCTTTACAATACAAAACACAGATGTGGTGTTGTACAAGGACAGACAAATATTGTAAGATAAAAAAACTTTACTTACATCACCAAATGGAATGTATTTACTTTTTTTGTGCAAAAAGAGACATTTTTGCCACTACATGTCAACATTCAGAGAAAATGCCATTATGGAAAGTCTTAAAACTAAACAAAATGTTCCTTTCAAATGGGAAAGCAGGTCACGTCTGTTTTTATAAGACACACGAAACAGACGATTATTAAGAAAATCATGACAGTCTTTGGGAAAAAGAAGTCAAAGTCATTGAGGTGAAAATGACCAATCGTATCCATTTGATAAACATGACTTCAGATGAGTTCCTCTATGGGAATGAGCTGTTTCCTGCTGACCCATGCATGCCTGAATGCCAATCACTGGTGGTCTTGATGTTGCATAGCACAGAGTGTAACAGTTGTTTGGTCAATGGGCCAAGAGTAGAGGCAGGTCACGTGCGAGTCTCTCAAGTTGGTGTCAAGTTATGAGCCCTCTGTCTTTGTCTCCCCTGTGGCTTCTTTAGGTGGGTCGGCCGAGGATGAGCTCTCTCCGCCCTGTTCACCATCATCTGTGCAAAGGCCAAAAATAATCTTTATTAAATGAGGTACATGAATTTGTTTTTAAGCAGACATGTTCATCCAAACTAATTCAAACACAAGGAGCAACATTAGCAGTGCCACATTAAGCGAATTCATGGATGGTGATTTATACTATCAAGCTACGAAAAGGTAAAAAAAAAAAACCCCACTAAAAATATTATTAAGTAGTTTATAGAATTGATAAATGTAGGGTGGGACTTGATTTTGTCCATCAGGAATTGGATGAATGGTTGTGGTTTGCTATTGATAGATACAAATAAAATAAAAACTTCCATGGGACCAATTTAATTTTTTTAGTAGAGTATATTTACCCATATACTTAGGATATTTATTTATTTATTAACCTTTTTAAATGTATATTTAATGATATGTTATAATATTTTTGGTCTCCCTACATAATTTATCTTCAGAATACATGTTTTTGTCTTCTTAAGTATAATTTTTGTTTTCGTCTTGTTTATGCTGCTGTAACGTCTAAATTTTCCCTTGTGGATAAACAAAGTTTTAATCTATCTATGTATTGCTATGATGTCATGTGAGTGACAGGTTGTCTCGTCCTCTTGCAGTAAATACATCATCAGAGAAGAGATGAGATGTCGACGCAAGAGGGAGGGGAAGTAAGTTTTATTAAAGATTACGAGGACACATGAATTAAAAAAAAATGATGTGCACGGATAAATCATTTATAATAAAAACTGCAATATTCCGTTAAAAAAAAAAAGAGTCAATTTTGATTTCATGGTGACTTTAAGTAGTTTTTCCACTGATAATCTTCCCTGTAGCTCTCAAATCTCATTTCTGGGTGTGTCAACTGATCACATGACATGCCAGAACCAATGGCATTTGGCATTAGTGTCACCAAACCTGTGATTGCACATCTAATAGCACCATTTTATTTTTATTCAACACAAGCGTCAATGAGATTTGAAAGCTT